GTCATATATTGCACCATTATATGGTTTAATTTTTAAGTAAAAAGATTTTTTTATATACTATATAAACCGCTAAATGACAAATCAATTTGTTGAACTTTTTTAAATGTTTAATTTATTTGTATGAACATTTATTTACTTGGCATGTTGACTTCATTTATAAGTATAAATTATAGGTTTATGTTGAATTTTGAAACTCTTTGTATGATTGTTTGATTGTTTTTCTTTGAGCTATATAAATTGTGCATGTTTATCCAACTATGTTAAGTTTATCCTTTAATTGGGACTGCCGCTTTTCAAGTAAGAGTTATTTTTGTAATTTTTTTTTTCTTTCCATATGCTTACAAAATGTTTTTATTGCATTTATGAAATGTGATTTTTTAGTTCCTCCTTCTCCAGTGAGATACATTAGTAGTTTATTTTGTTTTCATTGTGTTTAATGATTTTTTTTTCCATATTTTTTAATTTATCGTTTGTAATTGTTAAGTTACTAATGATGATTTTTTGATAAATGTAACGTTATATATTGTTGTTTTTTAAGTTTAAATTTACGAGATATATCATAGATTGTTGGATATCATTGATGTCTTTATTTTTCTCTGATTAATTTTTATGATTTTTATGATACTTTATGTTTTTTTTGTTGAAGAGTATTTGCAAGAAGTGTTATCTTTGTTTTTTTTTATAAAGATTCACGACTTTGAAACCACTTTTTTGTAAGATCATGTGGAAAACACAACCCTAGCGTATTACGTTTCTTTTTTTGTATTTTAGAGAGAGAAAGAGGGAGAAAGAGAGAGGGGGAAAGGAGGGGGAGGGCGGCTGGTGTGTTCACTTTCGGTACAAACTTTGTGCCGCAAACATAGACACTTGAATCCACCATACCTCAGCCTTAGGGTTACAAATTGTTAGTTAAGCCCATCAACCGAAAGCAATCGGGCTAAGTGCGTGTGCAATAGAGACAGAGAGAGGGAAAAAAAAAAAAAAAAAAAAAAAAAAAAAAAAAAAAAAAAAAAAAAAAAAAAAAAAAGCCTCAACTTTCCAGGAAGGAAATTTGGACCCTTCGTTCCACCTATCCTCGAGGACGTCGCTCGAATACATTTCCTAAGACCGGTGTCAAAAGAAAAAAAAAAAACAGTTGTTTTTCAAACCGTCAGCCAATGGGGTGCCGCCACGATCCAAATTCTTGACTGTAACGTCTATGTACCAGTGTGCCCTCTCCTCTCCATGAAATGTGGATTCCTTGTGCCCAAGATGTTGTAAGGTTCCTTGGGCACAAGGAAGAAATGGTTGGGGAAATTTATCTTTCCCGATGAATTTTTTTTGCGAGCATGATTTTATCCCCGAAGATAGGTGGAACGAACAATTTCCTAGGGATTTCTTGTCCCCGATGAGTGTCTAACGACACCAAAAAGTTATTACAGAGGGGCATTTATCTAACCTACAACTTCGTAGAGTAGACATCTCTTTTATGGCATATATGGAACACCAGTGGGCGTTGGCCTGCGTACAACTGTTTACACCCCTTACTTTTAGCGTAAAGTAAGGACTACAAATACTACCTATACCACCAAAAATGTTCAGTCCATGGTTGTTATATGTTTGGGCTTAGGTTGTGAAAGGTTTGCCTTATGTTATTGGTCTATGGGTAGTTATGATGATTGCTTACTTATCACCCCGTATAGTGCAACGCTGAATAATATATGGATAAGATTGAGGGTTCGGATGTGATTAGGTAGGGTATACCATACTTGCACACTGGCGCATAGAGTTAGGATGTGGGTAGGGTTATTGTGGAGGGATAAATCATGCAAGTTGGTATCCTTAGGACTCCGCTTCGGGGGGGCAGAGACACAAGTGGGATAAAAGGGAAATTTGGTTAGTGCGGGAGATTAGGTAAACGAACTCTGAGGTAGGGCCTTACTGTGGGATAAATTGAAATACGCCCAGTCGATGATAGAGGTAAGAAGAACGGTTGGGGGACCTTGTATGTATCGAGCTAAGACCGATGTTGTTTGGGATAAGGACTTTAGGGCAGATCTTGCGATAGGAGTTGTCTTAGGATAGATAATGGTTGGATGACCTGTTTCCAGGTTGACAAACAATATATAACTAACAATGGTTATAATAACAACGATATAATCATAATAATGCGACTATAAAGGAGTCTAGGGGGACACTTATAGATAGAGGGGCGAATAAAAGACTGTACATTTAGTGATATCGACCAGAACCTCTAAATCGCAATTAAAACAACAACGAAACATATAACGAACAATACAACAACTTAGGGGGGATAAGAATGAGTCCATCTATGAACTTGTCGAAGAGCGTTTATACATAGCGCATAAAGTACCCGCGCACAGGGTTTGTCCGACTATGCTTTCATTAAAGGATGAGTGGGGTAGGTGGGGTCTTGCTTAATTCTAATGCATACAACCGTTGTCCGGTCAGGATACCCTCGTTAAGATGACTGAAGGGTGATAATCCGAAATGGTAGACATTGAGGTTGAATCGTGGGGGTAAGGCTGCAATAGAGAGATAATAAAAATGGTAGGTTAAGAGCGAGTCTCATAATGAATAAAGAGTTTTACAAACCACCTGAATAACCACATGGCTAATTAACGGAGGTGAATATCATACATATAAAATTCAAGCTCTACCACAACCTGTTAGTTTTTTGTAAACCACCACTATCTTTCCAAGTTGTAGTCTCATTCGGGAAAATGACCTCAAACGCAAAGTTCGGGGGTCTGGGTGAGGGTTGGCAAAAACAAAACATTTGGGCCTTATGGGACCCATCGAGAAAAAAAAAAAAACAAAAAAAAACTGTAGAGTTGAAAGAAAGGACGTCGAGGAAAGTCAAAAAAGGAGTGTTCTCACAACAATGCCTTCAGGAATGCATTTGCCTATAATCATAGATAGTTTCACTTTTTGTTTTTTGTGTTTTTTATTTTTTTTTCCAAGTTAGTTTTAGTGCAGTGCTGACGAGGCAGGGCGCTTTTCGCGGATAACTGACACTTGCAACCAATGGGACACTCTCATATATACTCAAGATTTTGTATCCAGATGCTTTTACGTCAAATGAGTTGTTGATGTTTTTATTTTTATTTTATTTTTTGTTTTTATTTTTGTTTTTTTTTTCCCGTACAACCGTGTGTGCTAAGGGTTGTAACGCCCGTTGGGAGGGTATATTCTCAATTGTGCCCAATGTTCTGTATCCAACCGCTTTCACGGCCAAATATATATATATATTTMCCCCCCCCCCCCCTTCTGTTGCCATGTTTTGTTGATGGCAGTAACACTYTTTGGCAGACTCTCACGTGTACCCAACGTTCTGTAAACGTCTTTGTTTTTTTTTGGGACCCAGGCTCGGCAAAACTCGGTGCGCAGTAGACTTAAGGGATAGTAAAAACACACTTGGAGGTAGTGGTGAGTTAAAGAAAAAAATAATGGGAAGATTATTGAAATGTCCAAGCAAGTTGGAGTATTTTGTCAAACGTCCCTAAAAGGAATCGGTACAAAAGAAGTGCCCCTATGAAATGTGTGAAACTTTGTGAAATACCCACTCGCCAATTAGACCCGTCATCTTTTGCATATACCCGTATTAGACCTATGCATCTTGTCTATATGCCCTGATATTTTTGGTCGTTGGACCCTGCAGTTGGCAAACAGAATGCGAAGGCATATGACGAAGCTGGTGACGATCAATACAAATATCTAAAAAAAAAACTACATTTATCTAAAGTAAAGTTGCAATCAATTTATATGAAAATGTTAGCAGATAAAGCAATGATATGAAGTAACTATCATCAATAATATTATAAACTAGCCTATGCTACTTATGGGACTACCGTCTTCACCCGAATAAAACGCCCAGTCATAATTGCTGTATTTGGGGCAATTTTCAGTCGAGGTGCAATGATAATGACCGGGTATTCTCTTCCGGTGAAGACGGGTAGTTCGGCTCAGAGGACCTCTACGGGTCGTGGTCCGAGTGACACTGTCCTACTAGCAAACTGCGGCCCTGAGGAACCGAGTCTCCTATAACTCTTTGTGCAGCAACTTGGAGTTGATATAAGATTTGGAAGTCAGTAGTAAGGACTTTTGCAAATGCAAGTCTGTAAGCTAAGCTGGCTGATGTTGTCTGTACTCCGAGTTGAATTATGTGGTCCCCGACCTCGACTATTGTTTGGTAATGAATTGTATTTGGTTTGGGGTAGAGGACCGGGACAAAGGCAGAAACAAAAGTTTAGGGCATTTTGGTGTACACCTGTGTTTTAGAGGTACCTGACGAAATATCCCAACTTTTAGGCGTATTTCAGCAAATTTTCCAAAAATAAATTGGGGCAATTGCATCTGTACCCGCTATACGCAGTCCCAACGCAAACTTGCATCTATACCCAGAGATCGTTCAAATTTGCATAGTACCCAACTTTTCCTCTGTGTGAAATTGAAGGTGTAAACAACCCCACAGGCCCTGGGATTCGGAGCAGGAAATTACACTCACGCTACCTTGTAGACCGTTGTGGCCCAACTGCTGCTGGGTATGAGCATAATTCCAGCCATCCAGGAGCAGGGTACATGAATAATTTGGTCGCTTCACCCCAGGTCCCTGGTATGCCCATAATTTTGCCGGGGTATGTCCATAATTTGTGCATTCCGGTAGTTGGTTATAACTGCAATTTTTGAGGTACCGACCTGGGTCCACGTCTGTCCTGGGCATGCAAACAATTCCACTGGCCGCTTTCTGGGTATAGATGCAAGTTGGCGCCGGGACTGGGTATAGCCGGTATTCCTATCTTTAAGTGGGGTACAAATGCAAGTTCCCAAAAATGGGATCCCGAATGCGGGCCGTCCGTTGTCGGCCTGGCATAGCCCTATCGGGCCAACAGCCAGGATAGTCGCGCGGCAATCCAGGCCGTCGGCCCGGTACCACCGGGTCAAACGCCCGAATGGACCTACAATACACGCCAACTGGTACGTAGGTCGTACAGCTGCAATAGGAGTGCACCTCTACCCGCCCTTCTGCCTCGCCTCAGTCCGTGCGTTTGTGCGTGCCTGCGCGGGTGTGCTTTTGTGTGCTATTCGTGTGCGTGTACCTGTGACTCTGTGAGGTTGTCTCTGTGTGTCTACGAGCGCTCACACACACAGACGCACACACACACAGAGAGAGAGAGAGAGAGGGAGGGCCGCGGGGAAGGATGAGCAGTGTGCTGCTGTAGATTGATCTTGGAATCCGCCAAAAGTGAAATATTATTTTTTTCCGTCGAAAGAGGTAATCCGCGATCTTATCCTTTCTCCTCGTCGTCGTCGTCGTCCTCCTCCTCCTCCCTTTGCCCTCGACTCTCCATCGTTTGACATCCTGTTGCAATATCCGTCTTCACCTGCTTTACTCATCTCTCATCCCCCACGGCAACCTAAGCTCCGGCTTCTTCAGCTTCCGGCCATTGCGGACTCCCTCCCCCCCTTGCTTGAATGCCATTAACTCTTTAATTTTATTTATTTATCTCTTCTACTGCTTGCCATTGTTCTCGATCTCACACAATACTAGTAATATCTTTGGTTGAATCCAGCCGAGCAGCTTATGCCAAGCTTTGTTGATTTGTGTTTGTGTGTGTGTGTGTGTGCCTCTCTCTCTATCTCTCTCACACACACAGACACGCACACACAGAGAGAGAGAGAGAGAGAGAGAGAGAGAGAGAGAGAGAGAGAGAGAGAGAGAGAGAGAGAGGATGAGAAAGGAGAAGACGTCAGTGAGTGAGCTGAGGAGGAGGAGGAGGAGGAGGAGGAGGAGGAGGAATATGATGTTGTTGACGGGAAGACGAAGCTGGATGGGAAAGGCGTAGGGAACTACGGTGGTTTCATCTTTGTTTCTCTCTATTAGTTCCGTTTTTCTCTTTCTGTTTAGCTTCACCATGCTCCTTCCTGACTATCTTTCTCTTCAATGTCTTCCTCCTCTACGTGTTTCTTCTGTTGTCCTCCACGTCATCCTTTTCTCCTCTTCCTCCGCCTCCATGTTAGCCTCGGCATATTTCCAGTGCCATGTGGAAGCTGTGGGTTTAATCTCTCTTCTCTCTCCTCTCTCACCTCAAGAGAGCAGAGGGAAGGAAGAGAATGGAGAAGCGATGGTGATTCGAAGACAAGGTGGGAGGCCGAAGAGGAGGGAGAGAGGAGAGAGATTACGTGATGATGCTGATGACGACACGGGGGGTTGGGAAGAAGATGTGGATGCTGACGTGAAGTCGTTGGAGGGGAAAATGGAGCCTATGGTGATTCGATTAATCTTCTCTTTGTTGATGCCCGTTTCGCTTTCTGTTCTGTTTTGTCATCGTCCGTCCGTCCTCCTCCTCCTCCTCCTCCTCCTCCTCCATGCCTTTCTTCTCTATGTCATTACTTCTCCATCTGACCCCCTCCACATCATGCTTCTCCTCCTTTTCGTCCTTCTGCCTCGGATGCCAATATAGTCCAGCCTTCGGGGGAGTGAGGGAAAGGCCATCATCAGACTTACTCAGGTGCTAGAAAGACTACACGGGTTTTCCTCTTTTCGCCCTCTTTCGTTATGCTTTTCTCTCTATATCATCCCACTCCTCCACTTCGTTCTTCTACCTTGGATACCAATGTACCTCAGCCTCGAGAGAGTGCAAGAAAGACCATCATCACACTTACAGTAAGGCTAGATCGACTACAAGGGCTTTCCTGTTTACGCCTTCCTCCCCCACATTCACTCCCTTCTCCAGGTCCTGGCTTTCTGGCGGTACACACAGATAGATAGATAGATAGATAGATAGATAGATAGATAGGTAGATAGATAGATAGAGATAGATAGATAGATAGATAGATAGAGATAGATATATATATA